TTTGTACAGTAATATTGATATATAATATAATGCATTTTGTATATTTAGTAAATTCTAGTAGTTCAGAAAATTTGATATTTTTTGTAAAATTTAAAAGAATAATTAAATAAATGTTGCTACACCCAAAAATCCTTTTTTTCAGTGCAGTCTCCACGCCACACCTGACTGCAAACACAATAAGTCAAGCAGAGATCATTACAAAGCTTTTCATTCTGCCTCTACTGGCCGATAATTATAGTCCAACCAGATCCACCCAGTTCATCCAGTTCTTCTGAGAAAGACTCATTTACTAAACCRAAAAATATGCGTCATTCAAACCTACCTGCTGGCTGAACACAAACAAGGTTTTGCTATTCGCATTTCTTGAATTTAAAAAATGCAGCGGAGTCCGGTAACTTTGTGATAAATGTCAACAGTCTCAGCTGGCATTCACAAAACCCGTAGCTTCGGCTGTTTGACAGGAAACCAACACGGATGCATGGAAATGCCAAATGAAAGTCACCGGTGGCCTCAAATTCTGACGAACGAGGAGAGAAAACACAAAACAAAATGGAAAGGAGGTTTGACACTAACAGGAGAGTGAGGTGATCCATGGCTGAGGACAGCTGAGACTCATCAATGACTGAGCTCTGCGTCGAGACATCTGCTGCGTRTTTGACTGTCTTCTCCCTTCGGCCTCCCACGCAGGTGCATCTCCGATGAAACGGTGACACAGTACTYGTCGAAGGACCAACTCTCCAAGCACTTCCAGGTCCCCGTCTTCAAGTTCATTGGCAAGGACAATCGAGTGAGTAAACTAAGCACACCGGGAGCCAGCTGGTGGCTTCATATCTGTGCTGCTCTRTGCTGTGCAGATGAATTTATGATGCGTTAGCAGCATCCACAGCATATCCCCGAAGCTGCTTTATTTCCCCTCTGTTTTCTGTTCCTTACAGCAAGTGTTCCTCCACTGCCAGGTGTTGGTATGTGGGGCGGGAGACACCCGCTGTGCCCAGCGCTGCCGTCCACGTGTGCAGCGGGAGACTCGAACGGGGAAAACTCAGGAGCCTCAAACACTGAGCTCAGGCCCCATCTATATTTTACCTTAGTCCCAACCAGTGTTGTACTGGTCAAACCTGTCCAATTATTACTTAAAGTAGACATATCCTGCTTTTAAATCCTTCCCTTTTCACATTTAAATCATTCAGCTGGGGTCTTTATAAAGTGGAACTACAACGCTTTGATCTGAATWCCTTCTTATTCTAAATTCACCAGCTCCTCTTTCACCACTTTCCTGCTGTCTGTCTCAAAGCAGCTGTTTTTTTTGTCACTGTTCCTTTAAGATGCTTCAAGCCCCGCCCCCCTCCAGCTTCCAAACCAGTCCACTCCGGTTAGAGGGGTAATCATTTTCTGGCTTGCAGAAATGTTTTATTGACATTTTAATTAAAAGATGTCAACAACAGAAAACTTGTCCAGAGTCTGAACCAGAACCAGAGTCTGACCCAGAACCACAGTCTGACCCAGAACCAGAGTCTGACCCAGAACCAGAGGAGAATGAAGACGAGGAAATTGTAGTTGGTAAGTCCAGACCTTACTTGGCAGTTCTTTCGCAGATAATTTGACAAAATAGCTCCGAAAACTTCGTAGMAAATAGAGAAAACCAAATTTAACTGAGAATATAAAGATGCAGTGTATAAATGTATTCAAAAGCTAAAAAGTGGATTTTGCATGATATGTCCCCTTTAGGTTAAAGTACTAAAATATGTGCTTTCAAAAAGTRCTGAAAGTACTTACAACTTTGAAAATTTTTTTAAACGATGCATTTAACATTTAGTTTAGAGTAAGTGGGAAAATGTTCTACTATATTGTACAGAAAAGTCACACCACCATATTACACGGGTGGGGTGGGGCAGTTTTTGTTAGAACTGAGTATTAAGTAACTAATTAAAGAGCTTTTTAGTTGTTTTTTTTGTAATGATTGTACTAGTTCGCTGAATTGAAAATGATATTTGTTACAATAAACTAACAAACCTTTGTACAAAACAGTTTAACTGCTTGGTAGAAATCTATTAATCCCTTAACAGTCGTCCCTGAAATTCCTTAAAGGGATCCCTGATTAGTTCTAACATTAGACTTTATTTGATAAACATATATTTTAATTGTAAAATAAAGACCGTAAAAATACTGTAGGCTGTTCGGTTTTGTAAATTTTTTTAAAATATATTTTAACACGGACGGAGCCATTTTATTTACACGCAAAGCATTCTGGGTAAATGATGACGTGGATAGTTCCTCGATGTGAGCGAGCTATATCCACCCTGAAGGTTAATCTTGGACAATATCTGATGATCGACTCTTTTAAATGAAACCAGAGAGCGTTGACAGAGAGGAGAAGCATTTTTGTGTTCCCCTCTCTGTCATGTGGATGGAGGACCTCAGTGACAAGAGGAAAATGTGTAGCGCTGAGC